CGAACACCGCCTATTTTTGGCGACGTGCGGCGTGAAACAAAAGCCAGAAATTCCTCGCGTGTTCGCACCGTAGACCTTCCGCGCGAAAGCTTACGTCATTCACACTTTGCTATTATGTGATTGGTCTGTTCAACGGAGCGCAAACAAACCACAAACACAAAAGGAAAAGAATGTGGCTCGGATGTGAGCAGCCGTTTCTTTGGGGGGAGCGTTGCGTGACATCCCAAAAAACGGCTGCGGAGGAGACTACTGTAGAATGGGAGGACTACAGCATTGGAAAGGCGACCTCCACTACCGACCGTTTTTTGTGGCGCGCCAGGATGTCTGCCGCCGCCAACTAAACGAAAAAAAAGAGTAATACACCGAGGCCAGTGAAAATTTATAACAAGGACATCATCTGCCTTCCTCATGAACTGGGCGACAATGTCCTCATTCCGATTCCTCGCGGAGAGAAAAGGTCGAAACTAGCGGAAATGGGCCTTATTGGGAAAATAGCATTACACTCTGTATGGCAAGCTGCACAAGTAGAGGCAGAAGTCAGCAGCGTTTTCGCCTCTGCGTTTGGCCTGTCTCAGGGCGAAGTATTGCCTTATATCTATTTGAGGTACCACACTCACTGGGTTTTGTGTAGCCTGCGAAAGTAGACGGATTTACTGTGGTTGTGTGAAACAACGACCGGGAATCCGTCTGCGTTCGCAGACTAGGTTTGGTGTTGTTAACAACTGTCAGATGTGTGTCTAATTGACTGATGGCTTTGTTCACCGTTTTTCTTTTCCCTCAGTACTATGGCAGGAACCAAAAAGTTAACAGTCCCACAAACGTCGAGTTCTTTTCAATGGAACGCTCCCGAGGTTGTCTCTCTGTGCTCACAGAGATCTCTATACATAATGGCAAAGAGACTTCCATTGATGTAGCCAGGTGAAAATGTAGGTTACTATTCTTACTTCTTTCTTCTTTGACTCCACCCGGAAACAAATTGTATTGTGTTTTTGAGCATGGCGATTTTAGGTAAAAGAGTTTCAGTAATGTTCCTGTCATACTTGACACAAAACCCAAAAATAAATAGAAAAGAAGGCAGTAAACACTCTCTTGTACTAAGTAGTATACCTGGAATGTCCATATCAAACACTATGGTTTCTTACCACGTTTCTCCTTTTCTCAACTTTAGGATGACCCATACCAGCTTACCATATACGACAGTATGCCTGATTTGCCATCTCAGTTGGAAATTTCAGATACCACAAGTACACGGGACACTTCCGGTACCACAAGCACAGCAAGCCCTGCGAGCACTTCAAGTTCTATGAGCACGATAAGTGATGCACGTACTGAAAGTACTTTAGACAAAACAAGTACCACAGGAGGCGGAAGCACTACAAGCACTACAACAAGTCAAAGTGAGCCGGGTTCTTACAGGTAAATATATCATTTTCAAACACGCGCAAATGCGTAGGATTATTGCACAATTATTTCTGGGTTTCGTATTTGCCCATGAGAGAAAACCAATCAAACCTGAGATTAATTAGTCTCCTCCACAGCCGTTATTACGGTCGTCACGCAACGCTTCTCCCCCTTCCTCTGTTTGAATGTTTTTTTTTTCAAGGAAAAATACACCGAAATAATTCTATTGTTGAACCTTTTCTGACTGGCACGGAAAGTGGTTCTTCATTCAAACATTACAAAATTGAAACAGCGTTCGATCTCTGTACAATTAGCGAATGGGTATCATCGAAGTTCTTTGCCGCCACTCACAATTGGGCATCGATCTATTTTCGACACTCCTAGGTAGTTAAGCGACGATAAAACGAGGTAGTTTTTTGTGCGCCTATCGATTTACTTTGGTAAATGTTGCTTTTGTTAACGCAGCTCTTATGTCACACTACTGAACGACGACCCTTTTCCAAACCTCAGTGACGAGGAAGAGGAGTACCAACGGGACGTACTGCTTGCACTGGAGCTCAGCGCAAGGTAATTCTCTTAACATACAGACCATGTCGTTATTACGGAGACTGAGGTCCGTGATTATATTACATTTGATATTTTGACTACAAATGGCTATTATGTATGCCTGGTGATTTTTTTCATGTTGATTATTTTCGTGATTAATGTGATAATTATCACGGCTGGTCTTTCAATACGTCACAGAGACAGCAATCCTGGACGAGACCTGGAGGAAATACTGCAGGAGTTAAGAACAGCTCGAGTCAATAATGAGGGGAGAACCATAGTCAATGTTAGGCACGGTCACATCTGGGAAGATTCCTGCCGATGTTTGCAGAGGAAACGTTTCAGTCCAGGCGCAATCATTTCCGTCTGTTTCGTGGACGATTTTGGGAACAGCGAAGGTGCCGTTGACATCAGTGGACCTCGCAGGGAATTTCATCGTTTGCTGGTAAAGGCCGCGAATGAACATTCAGGGATTTTTGGTGGACCAGCAGATAGACGCGTTCTCGTGCCCAACTCAAACGGTAAATCACAACGTACAAGTAGTTCTACTACTTTGGCTTTATATGCATGTATTGCGTGAAGGTAACTAATTAACCCATTTTTCTAGCAAGGGAAAAGGGACACTATCGCCTTGTGGGTGTAATTTTGGCCTGGTCACTTGTACACGGAGGCCCCGGTGGCAGCTTCCTGAGCCCAACTCTGTACCACGCCATAGCACACGGTGTCGACTTCACTAAGGCAGACGTCAACGACATCCATGACGATCGGTTGTCGGACTCCCTGTCAAAGGTAAACTAATGCTGTACAACTACAATATCGAACTGTCTCCGCAAAGCACCACTTGTGACACTTAATCGGCACTCTTTGAAGCAAAGGATCACTATTACTCTTGAAATTATGATTAAGTAACAGCTTTGGTTCTATTCACTTTTTAGATAGCAACCGCAAACGACATAGAAGAGCTCAACGCAGTTTTACAGGATGTCCATGTTCAGGAAATTTTGCTTGCGCTAGGGTCCAAGACACAAGCAACCAACACCGGTGAAAAGGACCACTTCGTAAAAATAATTTCTCGCCACGTCCTTTTGGATAGTTCGCGATACCTTTTGGAAGAACTGATAAATGGTTTGTGCGCATTGGGGGTATACGAAAAAATAAAAGAAAATCCCAAAGAATTCGCAAAGTGCCTGTGTCGCTCCGACAAACTCCTAACGGCGGCTATGGTGGACGCCTTGTTCCACATCGAATATGCCGAACCAAGGTCAAACCGTTACGTAGCCCAGCAGAGGGCAATTGTGTACTGGAGAGATTATCTCCAAGACTGTGAAGGTAAGTTACCATACAATATAGTAAATTGCTTGCAACGTTGCAATGCACCTAAATTAAATTATTACTACAAATTATGCATTCTTTCTCCTTACTTAGCCTAAGTAAAGAGATATGT